CCTTCCTTGATGTGCACCAGGTGGTAAGCATTATGCAGGTTGAGCTTGATGAAGACAGTGGCTCACTACAGTGTCTCAAAGGCTGTGGTCATCAGAGGTAGGGGATACCAGTTCTCAACCGTGATGTTGTTCAGGCCTCAGTAGTTGATGCACAGCCTGAGAGTACCGCCATTTTTTCAACAAAGAAGAAGCCTGTGCCTGCTAATGATGATTGCAGATGCCAGTGACTCAGAGATTATACTGAGTGAGCGCAAGAGGAGACTGAAAACAACAATGGAGTGGCAGGTAAGGTGTTGTCAGTGGCCACTATGGTGGACCATCAAACAGCATCCTGGGAGAACCAGTGGATCCAGGCAATGACGGAGGGGAGTACTGATTGGTGAGAGCCACTTATGAAAGCAGATGGAGACATGGTGAAAATACACTGTCAGGTGACAAAACAACTCAAAGGATAAAACCAAGGAAAGAAAAAAATTAATTCATATACTCGGGGGACAGCTCAGGAGGTAGAGCGGGTCGTTTTCTAACCGGAGGATTAGCAATTTGATTCCCAGCTTGTCCAGTCAACATGTCGAAGTATGCTTGAGCAAGACACTTAACCCCGAGTTGCTCCGGGTGTTCACCGGTGTGTGAATGTGTGAGAGTGCGAATGGGTGAATGGCCAAGTAGTGTGAAAGCGCTTTGAGTGTGCTGTAAAGTGTAGAAAAGCGCTATACAAGTATAAGACCATTTACCACTTACCATATAGCTGGAGGAAAAAACCACTGACAAAACAGCAAAACACTGCAGTGAGTGCATAAGCAAAAAGTCTGAGCTCAGACAAATAGAACCAAAGAAAACTGCTGTGACAGAAAACACAAAAGGCACAGAACCAGGGAAAAATAGGCAGCAGGGCTACACACACACACACACACACACATACAAACTACATAAAAAGGAGGGCAGGTGTACAAATTGAAGGGCAAGGCAGGAGCGGAGTTAGAGGAAGGAACCAGCTTTGGAACAGACAGACTTGGGTAAAGGCTCAGGAAAATGGCTGGAGGGTCCTCACAGAAGAGAGAGATGATCTGGTGACTCACTGCAACAACTGGGCCATTAAAGTAGGCTGCATGTAACAAGGCACAAATGCAGCAAATGAGTCACTAATCAGGCAGTAGTAAATTTGAGGCATAGGCAGAGATGATGGGGAGTTCCTTTCAAAATAATTCTTGGATCAGAAATTAAATTCTCAAAACTATTTGTTCAACTTCCAAGACATTAGGTTATTTGTGCACATCATATAAATATTGTTTTTAACAAACTGCTAATTCTTTGGCATATTCATGCAAATGACTATGTGCAATTGTCTGTTGGTTTCTACATTATCAGTTGCTTAGCTCATGTTGATCAAAATATATTTTATGGTTCTCTGTTGAATAGTCTGACCTCCCTAAACAACTAGTCATTAGTTTTTTGCAGATGTCATTACATGCAAAATAGGTGAACTAGTTGTATTTAGTATCTGTCAGGTGTTTTATTTATTTATTTATTTATTTATTTATTTATTTTTACAAATGTGCCTGAATTAGATCAACCAGTTCTCTACAGCTGCAACTCATGAACCTTCAATTGGCAAGCATGTATAGACATACAGTAGCACAACACAGTGCTTCAATTTCTGACAATGGAAAAACAAGAAAATGCACAGCGTTAACTCTGTGCATGGTGGACAGGTAGGGAGGCAAAACAGACAGAGAGAGAAAAAGCCAAGAACATAAACATGTTCCCAATGAAATAAGGACCACACCTGTGGACCATATTGTCAGTCATGTCCTTACAATAGCCAAGGCTAGTTGAAGGCAGCCTAATGTTGGGAGAACACCTGTTCTGTCTAGTGGGTTTTTCCTGTGTTTATATTCTTAATGTTGTGTCTTTTCCTTTGTGTTATGCAGTGCTGTAAACCACCTATTTTTGTGTATCACAGTAAAAGCAGTAAAAATTTAAATGTGAGTCTATCTAGTCTTTTTCAGTCTTCCACACAGAGTAATGTGAAACTTGGTACTATTGAAACTGATACATGCCATACAAAACAAGTGTAGCCTTGTTTCCCCAGGTCAGTGGGAGTCCAGTTCTCACCCAACCTGAACCATAGGTTACATATGAAAATACAGTGCCTTGCGAAAGTATTCGGCCCCCTTGAACTTTGCGACCTTTTGCCACATTTCAGGCTTCAAACATAAAGATATAAAACTGTAATTTTTTGCGAAGAATCAACAACAAGTGGGACACAATCATGAAGTGGAACGAAATTTATTGGATATGTCAAACTTTTTTAACAAATAAAAAACTGAAAAATTGGGCGTGCAAAATTATTCAACCCCCTTAAGTTAATACGTTGTAGCGCCACCTTTTGCTGCGATTACAGCTGTAAATCGCTTGGGGTATGTCTCTATCAGTTTTGCACATCGAGAGACTGAAATTTTTGCCCATGCCTCCTTGCAAAACAGCTCGAGCTCAGTGAGGTTGGATGGAGAGCATTTGTGAACAGCAGTTTTCAGTTCTTTCCACAGATTCTCGATTGGATTCAGGTCTGGACTTTGACTTGGCCATTCTAACACCTGGATATGTTTATTTGTGAACCATTCCATTGTAGATTTTGCTTTATGTTTTGGATCATTGTCTTGTTGGAAGACAAATCTCCGTCCCAGTCTCAGGTCTTTTGCAGACTCCATCAGGTTTCCTTCCAGAATGGTCCTGTATTTGGCTCCATCCATCTTCCCATCAATTTTAACCATCTTCCCTGTCCCTGCTGAAGAAAAGCAGGCCCAAAACATGATGCTGCCACCACCATGTTTGACAATGGGGATGGTGTGTTCAGGGTGATGAGCTGTGTTGCTTTTACGCCAAACATAACGTTTTGCATTGTTGCCAAAAAGTTCGATTTTGGTTTCATCTGACCAGAGCACCTTCTTCCACATGTTTGGTGTGTCTCCCAGGTGGCTTGTGGCAAACTTTAAACGACACTTTTTATGGATATCTTTAAGAAATGGCTTTCTTCTTGCCACTCTTCCATAAAGGCCAGATTTGTGCAGTATACGACTGATTGTTGTCCTATGGACAGAGTCTCCCACCTCAGCTGTAGATCTCTGCAGTTCATCCAGAGTGATCATGGGCCTCTTGGCTGCATCTCTGATCAGTCTTCTCCTTGTATGAGCTGAAAGTTTAGAGGGACGGCCAGGTCTTGGTAGATTTGCAGTGGTCTGATACTCCTTCCATTTCAATATTATCACTTGCACAGTGCTCCTTGGGATGTTTAAAGCTTGGGAAATCTTTTTGTATCCAAATCCGGCTTTAAACTTCTCCACAACAGTATCTCGGACCTGCCTGGTGTGTTCCTTGTTCTTCATGATGCTCTCTGCGCTTTAAACAGACCTCTGAGACTATCACAGTGCAGGTGCATTTATACGGAGACTTGATTACACACAGGTGGATTCTATTTATCATCATTAGTCATTTAGGTCAACATTGGATCATTCAGAGATCCTCACTGAACTTCTGGAGAGAGTTTGCTGCACTGAAAGTAAAGGGGCTGAATAATTTTGCACGCCCAATTATTCAGTTTTTTATTTGTTAAAAAAGTTTGAAATATCCAATAAATTTCGTTCCACTTCATGATTGTGTCCCACTTGTTGTTGATTCTTCACAAAAAAATTACAGTTTTATATCTTTATGTTTGAAGCCTGAAATGTGGCAAAAGGTCGCAAAGTTCAAGGGGGCCGAATATTTTCGCAAGGCACTGTACTTCCAGAACACAGTTATATTAAGCATTCTGACTGCCATGTTCATAAATGATGACAAGGACTTCTCATTCTAATGCACTGACATGTTCATTGACATAATATTTACTTCTGAGAGATAAACTAAGGATTTTGAGCAAGGTACATGCTTTTGCAGGTAATCCATTGTGTGGTGCTGTTTGTATAAACTGTTTTGAGAAATTGTGAAAATGGGTATCAAATTTTTCATTTTAAATTTCATATTGCCTAAAGGCAATTTATAACACCTTTGTCCAGCAGTATTTGCATATTGTTTTGCATGTGTTAGTTTATTTTCTGCTTGTGTCATTTCTTGAACTTGAAACTGAAATGCTGCCACACAACAGCAAAAGTTGATGATAGAGAATCCAATATGTCAGCGTCAAATTCCATGACCTGACTAGAGTTATACTAGCAAAATAATATATATAATATCCTGTTAGATGCTATAACAGTCTCACCATAGTATCAAGACATTTTTCTATCACAATACTGCAAAATTACAAATATTGTTACATCCCTATTAATAATGTTTGTGTTACATTCATCGAACAAAGAGCAGGAAGAAAAACTAAGTAAACTAATTAGTGTAAACTAATTAAACACTCAGAAATTACAGTGTAGATATAGGCATAGTTTTATTTTACGCCATGTGAGGATATACTGTAAATACATGAACACTGTTTTGATGACAAGAGTTTACCAATTGTTCTTTAATATATAAAATTATCAATGTGCATCATTGCCATGTGGACACATCTGTTTACATATTAGTGTGTACTTTAAGTTTGTGACTGGGGTAATTTGGGGTAATCCCCTTAATCCACTGAAGGGAAGTTTTTATATTTGTAGGCATAAAAGGCTTTACAGTGTATGCAGACACCCTCTGTCTGGAAAACATAATGCTGAATAAATAATCATACAGTTTTTAATTATTTTTTTTTTTACATTTGTGTCTCCAACTTTGCTGTAACAGTCTGGGGAAGACCCTTTCAACTATCACATATGATTATAAACACATTTTATAAAAATTTTAACAAATACCTACATCTAACCTGTAATTCATTTGCATATTTGTATTATCAACTGTATTTTTTTGTCTTATTGTTGAGTGTGTGCTTTATATAAATGACACAGCATGAAGCCTTTGGTTTGTGTTTATACTATCTAGATGTTGCACAGGACGTTTGATGAAATACAGCCTACCTTCTATGCCGTGAGTATCTTCCACTAACATGGCCTTTGCCGTCACATCCAGGGGTAGGGCAGCTGCTACAGACATACAACATGACAAATACACACTTCATACACACAATATATGATTTATACTTAATGATAGACTTCTTTTGAAGTCTATCATTAAGTAAAAGTATAATCATTATGCATTTCACTGAAATTACTTACCTCAATTCCTGCTTCATCTCTTGTCCCACAAGGTCTGCTGACACTGAGAGGAAAGCAACAGTTGAATTGTTGGATGCAGAAATAAAAGTCATACGAGAGCAAAAAGTGAGGAAAATTATTTGGTCACTGCACATTTAGAAAGTCACCCTTAGATAAGGACATTGATTCTGTATTTACATCTCCATGAGGTGTGTACAAAAGCTTAGGCATGACTGGATGGTAACACAGATAACTTCAGGCAAGGTAGTATTCTACCCAGGTGGTTCTGAATTTCTTAGCAAGGCACCAAATGTAGTTTACACACTGGATGTCCGTGGGGCCCACAGCTAATTTTTGTCCAGCCTAGATGGTTAATATACTGTAGTTTGGATTACATGAATATGCAGTATGAAATGTTACATCAGTATCACTTCGCTTCCAAACTGTGTGTGTGTATGGGAGGTTAGGTGGAAGTTGGGGCAGGGGGTTCTATACTTACCCTGGATGCTTTTGGACCGGGTTCGTGTTCGTGTCTCTGTAATGTCTTGGCTCATCTGAATAACAGACGGACATGAGCAAGTAATGAGGTACAGCACTGGAGATAGATAGATAGATAGATAGATAGACAGATGGATACTTTTATGCTGAGGCTCGTCCTCTGTAGTTAAGTGGCTCTTCTCTAGTCCACTGCTGGCTCAGTGTCTGACTTTTGAAGTCATTTTTCTGTTGGATACAAAACACACAAAACAAAGCACTTTACTGTAAGCTAGTGATGGAAAATGTTTATTTTACAGTTAGTTTATGTAATTTAATAGTTATAAAAATGTGTTGAGGGCATTCACACGTAATGGTCAGTTTACACAACATGGTTTGATTTACTCAGTCTCTGAAAAAAGTTATAAGTTATAATAGCTTATCTGGCTCTGAAGAACATTTATCAAGTCTGAGAAAATAACCCAGATCAGGTCATTCTGTTATCGGTTACCTCACTATGGGCTGTGTTAGGGAGCAGCAAACTACATGTATTTAAACCATTAGTTTAGTTACATTTTACAGTAACTTGCTGGTAGTCCAACTACATTCATAGTTGTGTAGTGACTGAAGTAGTTAAATTACATTTTTGCCTTTTTGTAGTTAACTACTGTAACTACAAATAATTCAGGCCCATAAAAGCAAGGGAATGATTTTTTATTTTTATTTTACCATGGCTTCTCTGACCCTAACCACCATTTGGTTAAGAACATTGAGAGACTTCTCATGTGTCATGTGCACAAGAGGTTCTACTCTGAGACATAGCAGTAAAAGATGGGCCCATTTAGGCTAATGTTCAAGCTGTTCTTATGGTCTAAAGTCTAAAATGTAGAGATGGCACTGATAGCGATGGCGGCCTTGGTTAATTGTGCTCTCTTGTGTTTGTTGTTTTTCTTCGTTTTCTCAGTCTTTTGCCACCCATCCCGGATTACTTTTACCAGAGAAGAGCTGTTAAATATCGGACAACTCACACTGAACTACCCTTCTCCGATTTTTGTGAACGAAGAGTGCTGTATGGACATTCTGATCGGAGGTGCAGCTGCAATCTATGGGATCTGGAAGAAACGCCGCCGTGGCAAGCGTGTGGGTAGTGAGGCTATGCCAGAGAGGGACCCAGACTTCACTCCCATCTATCCACCTATTATTTGAGACTGCAGCTACAGACCTGGACGAACTCACTGACACTGTGACATCTTCTATCAGCTTTTGTGAGGATGTGTGTGTGCCCAACAAGTCCTTCTGTACATACAACAACAACAAGCCCTGGTTCACAGCAAGACTCAAGCAGCTTCGTCGTGCCCCAGTTCGACCTGCCCCAGGAGCTGCTGATACAGTTCTCCAGAGGAATCATCGAGTCCATTCTCTGCACCTCCATCACTGTCTGGTTTGGCTCAGCAACCATGCAGAACAAGTACAGACTTCAGTGGACAGTCAGGACTGCAGAAAAGGTCATTGGTGCAAGCCTGCCCTCCATGGAGGACCTGTATACCTCACGGGTCAAAAAGAGGGTGGAGAGGATCACTGCAGACCCCTCACACCCTGGACACAATCTGTTTGAACTCCTCCCCTTTGGATGGTGTTACAGGTCACTGTGCACCAAGACAACCAGGCACAGAGACAGTTTCCTCCCCCAGGCCATCACTCTGATGAACACTTGACCCACGACAGTATGACTGGACAATAACCCTCAGTGCAATACCTGTAAATATACATTGTACAGATTATACAGATCCGTACAGATCTCTATTTTTATTCCAATTTATCTCATTTCACAATGAGCATTCCCTTGTCTGTCTAAATTTTTTACTGCCTGTTTATACTGCTTATTTTGCATTGTTTGCACTGTTTGTTGCTTGTTAATACTGCTTATTTTGTTATATTACACATCCTTATGTTGTTTTACTGTCTACTTGCTCCTTGCATGAGGATATGTACATGCACATTGAGAGCCGATGTACCAGAGTCAAATTCCTTGTGTGTCCGACACACCTGGCCAATAAAGCAGATTGTGTTGGATCCAGCATTTTTGGATTTTGCCTCTTAGGCTAGTGGTTAAGGCGCAACGCTCTCACCGCTGCAGCCCGGGTTCAAGTCAGGGTCGCATCAGGAAGGGCATCCGGCGTAAAACACGTGCCAAATGTCAACATGCGAGTCGTCAGTGTGACGATTTGCTGTGGCGACCCCTATAACAGGAAAAGCTGAAAGTGACTTTCTTACTCTTGCTAGGGACTACAAGTCAAGCTGTCTTTGTCTCTTCTGTTTCCATTTGACCATTCATGTTTTAACCTGTCTCTTGTGAGCTTTATGGAAGTACTCTTTTAAGCCCAATAGACCTACTGTTTTGTTGGCGAAGAAGCTAGAAAGATCCAAACCTGCTAATTATATATGAAAATACTGCTTCTCTAAAGGAAAATATTTCCAAAGACGCCAAGTATATTTTCAGGTAGTGTATCAGAAATGCATATAATGGAATGGTGCAACTATTTAAAAAAAAATGTTTCTGGTTTGTGTCTGGGTCAGCATCATGTAGTTCCAATGTAATGAGGATGTAGGCTTCACTAAAGGCACAGGGTGTGTTGTGTGACTATTTTCTGGGAATTTGGCAGGTAAATGAAACCGTTTTAAATGCTGTAATTAAAACACTGTCAGTATTCTCCAAACTCATTCCAATATTTTCAGATGCAATTTTTTTTATATTTGACTTTTAATTTAGCCTTAAAAAAATAAATAAAAAAACTAGAAAAAATAGAGGCTGTCTTGCAATGTAAATATTTTGTAACACATATTCTGACTTTCATATAGTAAAATTAAATGGGCTTTCAATATATTTAAATAGTTGACAAGAAAGATTATCATTGTCCAGGGAACACAATATGTGTTATTAATTTTTGTTTTGTTTTTTGTTTTTTAGGAATTTCAAAAGTGAAGGATATGACCAACTGTACTTTTATTTCCTTTAATTATCTTATCTCAAAGAACCATTTAAAACATTTCTGACAAAACTGTTGCAAAATTAAACTGAAGCATATTCTTATTTTATGAAAGGGAACAGCCAGTCTTTCACACTGAAACAAAACTGTCATTAGTGGCCAAACAAAACACAAAGATAATAAAATAAAATGTAGGTTTCTTATAGTCTTGTAACACAAGTCTTATAGTCATTTTGTCCAAATAAAGATATTCACAAATGAAACATAATTACAAAAAGGATAGCCTATTTAGCCTATTATAACCTAGATATGGCCCACTTCCTTTGGAGATTCTGCTTTTGGAGGAATGCTAAAAGTCTTACAGCAGATACAGGTTGATACATTAGGAATCTTCTAAGAGGGTTACGGGCCAGCAAAGATCTAAAGCGATTTTATGACTGCTCGGTGGCCATAGCATGAATAAGACTCAGCATGACATCACTTTATTGACTGCTAGCCTACTAGCTTACATGTAACCAGGTAGAGCACAAAAAGCAAAACGCAAGCATCAAGTAGGCTACAACATAACGACGTAATGTGGTGGTGACAGCAAAGATGTAGGTCGGGCTGCTAAACACTACGAGGCCTTTCTCCTCTGCTACACTGACACACTGATAAAACAAAACATGCAAAAAGCCACCGTAAACGACTGTCAGCGGTTTACGTGTATAACAAAAGGGCCTGTATGGAAACCGGGTCGCCATCGCAAAGGCCGGAAATAAAGACCGACGATAATAATCGGTTTAAAATCCTGACTATCTGCACCTTCGGACCGAGCTCAATTGCTGACATCCTCGGTGGTCTAGTTTATCAGTGGCTTCATTCCATCCTCTCTGATCGGTGTGAAATCCACGTACCATTGCGGCCAAGGCCCAAGAAAATACCGACAAATAAGTGCGTTTCATGCTCTTTGTTTGTGAGACAAGAGATAAAGCCTTACCTTACACACAGACTACTGCCCTCCCTCCCCCTCCACTCCCACATCTCCGAGCGGGCAGACAGTACAGTGACTACAACCACAGTACACCACCAGAACACAGCAGAAAGGACTGAATGGGTGTCACAGCAGCGTCAGACTGAAGCCAGCACCCGTGAGCTGTTCAGCCCCGGATAGGGCCAGGCGCGTCTTCAGCACCATGGACAGAAGCCCCACTGCACTGCCTCCTGTAGGAGCACAGGAGAGCTGCAGCTGGCCGCCTGCAGGGGCTGCACTGCCGCTGGCCCAGTCTGTGGGCTACTGAAGGCGGGCACGATATCAGTATCTTAGGAGCTGCTAAGAAGATGCAGGACGAGGTATTGAGGAGGCGAATTTCACCTAGCATACTCGTCAAGTAAAACGCCCAGTATCTTTAAAGCCAGCAGGGACAGTAGTCTAGTGGTAGAGGAAGTAGGCTACTAATAGTATCAGTAGGCTATTAATGTGTCATTGCGGCATAACTGAACCAACTGTTAGTCTACTTTATAAAGTATTCGTCATTTTACTAATCAGTAATCATGTTACTAATCAGCCAGCCACAGTAGCCTCAAGGCTCAACCAATCAAAAAGTACAACTTGTTCATGACAGAGCCCCACTCAGGTTCATGTGTGCCAGGTCAGCCAATAAAAACAGGCATCAGTTGTCCAAAAAAAAAAACATTTTAAAAGGATGGCAGCAATATTGCTATTTATAGCTATGAAAACAGCTTGTGTATAATGTTTTTTGGGTAGGGTAACATACTAGGAAGGTTTGGGTTAGCTAACATTTTGTTCAAGCTGTCAAAAAGCACTCTGATAATGTCATGTTAACTTAGTTTCTATGTCTATGGATTAGTGATGAATGTGTGAAAGTGTATCTGCAAACCCTGATGCTACCATGAAAGAAACAGGAGATGGGCCAGGTGGAGATGCAAAGTTTTGAGGTGAGGTTTCAAAATGTACTCATGATGGTAATAAAACCCAGAAAGTAGAACAGTAAACCCAAATAATACAATATGCTTAGTCTCTTGAGTCCCCTTCAGCCCTGTGCAAAAAAACAACCTTGAGTGTGCCCCTTATGGCAGCACTGAGCAGTTTAATGTTTACATTAGCTTAACATTAGAATTATCACTGGCAAAGCAGTGACTTTAAACTAATGGGCTAGTTGGGCATCCTTTTATTTTAAATTCACAACAAATGGAATTTATCAAACCACTTAACAACACTAAAACAATAAAGTTATTGAGACAATTTTAAAGTATAAATGTTACTATCATATTCCTCCTCTTCACTGCAGCCATATTATAGTTTCAGGATCAGGAAGACAGCAGCAGTACAGAGACAGCAGGAGAGGAAGACATAGGCCCTAGGTGAGGTTAAGTCCAGTACCAGTACCGTATATTAGTTTTAGAGTAATAAAAGTGTCAGGTCCACTTGGCGCGACCTGCCTCTCTTCCACCTTTCTCTCCTCTGCTCTCTCGATCCTGCGGGATCTGCACCTCAGCTGAAGTGCATTTCAGTAATTAGCAACTAGCTGATAGATGAATGAAGGAATGGCGTATTATTATCAATGGTGGAAAAATTAGTTAAAATTTTCTGAAATCACGCTAGAATTGGATCTAAACTCTGGGATTTAGTCAAGAATTTGAAGAGAAATTTAGTTGTCAATTTCTGTAAATTATGGATTTTAATTTGGGAATAACTGTGGCTTTATGAGACATCAAGCTTTAGCCATGAAGTCATGTAGCTTTTAGCAGGTCAGAGAAAGCAGCCTTTCTGAAGCCTTTTATGCCAGGGTAGAGGTCTGTGAAGGTCCAAAGTTCCAGAACATCATTTAAGGCTGCGAGCTCAGAAGGTGTTCTTCGTATTCAGAATAGGATCTGCCTCTCTTTTTATGAGGAGTTGGTTTCCCAGTCTGTGTCCAGAGCGTTCTGTTCAGATGGTGGCTGGAGACCAGGGTCCATTTCAGTACATGGCTTTTGAAGATGTCTTGAGGAAAAACCTTGTCTAATTTAAAGTGATCATCAAGGGATTGCTCTGATAGTGTGTCTAGGGTTTAACACAAAATTTGGCTTTAATAAAATTCACTTTTGACTTTGTTTATGAAATTTTACTTTGTCTAACAACTTTGGCAGGAAGGTGTTCAAATCTCACATGTTGAAAACTGCAGATGGGATTGTCTGCCGGGCTGCACGAAAAATATTCAAAAATCACTAGCTAAAGAAAGGCACCAATAAAGAAAAACAAAACACTTCTTGTAGTGATGTGAGCATATGGATAAATTTAAGACTAAACACAGTAAACATGTGTACAAGAGATGCAGACACACACGTTGGGTTCCAACTTTGTTAATTTCTTGCACCCTGTGGGAATGTTCATACTTCTACCTTGCACCATGGCTCACATATGTGATATGCACCTTTAAGTGACTGGAATGTGTGATAAATCACATTTAAACACAAAATTTAAGCAACAGATAGTTTGAACATTAAAAGGCATACATAAACATTCCATGGAGGTAAAGGAAGGTTAACTTTGAATAAGAAGAACATAAGCAAACAATTGTTAGCAAACAGTCATAAAATGGAAAAATCAGAAGCTTAATTCCCTACTCATGTTTTAGCACTATTTTAGACAAGACCTAACATTGCATAGGATTAGGCAGATTTAAGGTATTGTTAGATATTAGTAAATCAGTCAGATAATTATAATTAGACATTAATGTGTTAGACAAATGTATTAGTAATGTAATTTAGTAAGAATTAAAGTCTGCTCTAGTCTGCTCTGTTTCATGGTTGACAGATAGAATGTTGATTCTGAAAAGTGTACCTTGACACCAATTGTTTTCCTGTATTCATCCTGTGTTAGAATATTATGTCTGAATGAATGTTTTCGTTACGCACCATGTGACAACACACACACATCGAAATTATTCATTTTGTTATGACTAGTGCTCGAAGCATGTGGAGCCTAAGACAAGAGATGGAGATGCCGGACTGTCTCCATCTCGTGATGTTTTGTAATCTTTCTGTGTAAGGGGTTAGCCCAAAACTTATAAATGTATTAGGCTTTGTGTTTCCGGGAGCTCTTAATTCCAGCAGCCTGCCTGTGGATGTCTGGAGGAAGGAGCCACCCGGGTTGTGATTTGTAACTTTGCTTGTGGTTTAAATAAATCAGCACTAAAATGAAGAAAGATGGACTCCTTCCTTATTCAGATCTGTCCAATATAAGAACTGGGGTATTACAGTACACATAATATAAATATTTATTGTAGTCTCCTGAATGTTTACTTTGGAGCCTAGATTTTGTCTATATTTCATGTTGAAATACATTTTTACATGTCAATAACTGTGCGTCTCCTCTCTCCCATAGTGTGTCCTCTCTCTCTCCCCGTTCCTTTCTGCAGGTAGCCCTGGATCTGGAGCTCTACATTTCTGATGATAAATCACCGGCCACGTCAACCTGCCCAGTGTTTGATTGTTTGTTGTTGTGTTGTTTCTTTTCTTTTCTTTTCTCTCTCCTCTATCCACTCAACCCAACCAGTCGAGGCAGAAGGGCACCCACCGAGAGCCGGGGTCTGTCGGAGGTTTCTTCTATTCCTCAGTATAAAGCATCTCTTCAGGGTGTTTACTTTGGACTTGTGAGCACAACAACTAGTTGACACCACTTCCACGTTCTCTACATGTAATATGCTAAAGTGACTCAAACCACACAATAAGCATTCATTTAATATGGCTACCCTGCTATCTGAGCCTCCTCAGAGCCACAGCCCAAAGCAGCACAAATATAACCAAAGACAAAGAAAGATGGCCTGTACAATTGGATAAATGGATAAATAAATTATAGTGATAAGCCTTGGAAAAACAGTTATTGGCTTTTCTAATAGTTCATCTAAATAAAACAAAAACATTAAAATAAATACACAGAAATATTATGAACATTTGAAAAAATTTACAAGATAAAATAAGTAACATCTACATTATTAAAACTAAACCACATTTTCCCTTTTCCATCAGAAACATACAAGTAACAGGAATCTACATATTATAAAAGGGTGGTGAGTTAATGTTGTTCCAAAAAGACTAAAGTTAAATATTTAAAAAGAATTGCTGTAATACTCAGCATACCCTAGTTCTTGGCTGATATGACTAAGCAATTACTCCAAGTTTTTAGTCCCTCAAACAGCACAAGTAGTCTAAGAATACAAATATTTGGCTTTATACCGTCAACTAGTGAAGTCAGGTTGAACACTGAAGCTCTGAAGCATATGTCGAGTATTCAGGGCAGCAGAAAGTAAACCTTTGTGTCAAGGCTTGTTACATCACTGATGACGACTGAAGTTTCATTTAGGCTACCAGTTCAGGAAGCCCTTCGAAGTTGGTGGGATGTTTCAGCATGTGTTTGAGATATAGGGGGAAAAAACATAGATCACACAGTTTGTAGGTGTGCATTATTAGAGATTATTGCAGTGTAGTCGTTTGCATTATATTGCCATGGCATCAGCACCACAACATAAGTTATCCTCAGTAGCAAAACAAAAGGCCACTCTCCCTCAAGATGTGCTCTGAACCAAGAACACAGACCCAGGTACACTTCTGGCCATTTTTATAAAGTCTGCCTCCTTGTCTGGCCCTAAAGGTAATCCTCCCATTACCTTCCCCTCTACATTAAGCTCAAAATGAAACAAGGTTGAATGCCCAAAGTTTGTCTTAGGGACAGGCAATATTGCAAAAAACATAGCCTACATAAAGATTTATTGTATAATAAAAGTGACTGGTGTATTATTTATGCTTGTATATTCGCCTTAGTGGCATGGAATTTTGACAAAAATTGAAATCTAGAAATGTGTTTTTGTTTTTATGTATTTCAGGGACACAAAAAGTACCGTACATGAAGAAACGCTTCACGAGTTCATGAGTCTCTCTTTGCGCCAGTAGGTGGCAGTGATGCAACATCGAAGACAGAGGCGGAACTATCAGTAAAAGTGTATTGTGCTGCGTAGAGGACATGCTATTTGGTAAAGACGGAAAATCACTTTGGGATATATTTATTGCACGGAGATTTCTGTTAAACCTAAAGTTACACCACCCGTGTTACTTACATCGCTGCTGATTAAACGGAGGAAAACCGCTTGTTACCGTGCCTGCGCTCGCCTGAAACTTTAGTGACACCCCTTCATTTAGCCTAGCCTAGCTAGCGCTAACGTTATATTAGTATTCAGTCGCAATTTAGCTCTTAACGTTAAGACATTTAAAAAGCCTTGGGGCCAGGATGCAAGAGGAGTATTTATGAGGAACGACCCGGTAAGTCGCGAAGCCCAAACGTTACTTTGCAGGCTACTGTAGTAGGAAGCTGCTAATCGAAGTAAACGTAATTTGAAGGATAATTGGTTTTAATGTGGCATGGGTTTGCACATGAGAATCACAGAGCTGAAGCTAGGGTTTGCTCCACTCAACGCGTTGTAATTCCGGTCGGCCAGGATGTTACACCAAATGACCTAATAATACAAGGACAAAGCCTGATGGACATTTCACTAATATGAGCTTTTAGATACACATGTAATGTTACGCGTTTAAAGTGATACAGCTTGATAGCATAGCTACATGCCATCTTCACAGAGGCTAGCTTGTTCTGCTATCATTTAATGTCACTGTACTAACGTTACTTCAGACACTTTTTAGCTGATGTTATTTTAAAAAATTACTTTTAACTACTAATAATGATCGTATAGCCAAATGTTTTCAGTTAACGTAATGGTGTAAAGTAGAAGTAATAACTCTTCAAACAGAATATCATATTAATCATTTACTTTGTTGACTTGTTTTACCTATAGTCGGCAAAGGAGCGTTAATGCCAGTGATTTAGCCGTGAGTTGGTATAATCAGTTAACGCCAGACGTAACTGATTTAGTGGGGTATTATTGAATTTTCATTAATATATTCACGGTATTTGTGCCTGTGTCGATCACGTCTAGCGTTACAGCAGTGCTAAAAACACAAGTTACCATACTTCCGTCCTTCACAATAAGATACCCTGCTTCAACAACTCCAAACGATGTGTTAAAAGCACCTTACTATATTTTCATACGCATTAACTTTATTGCCAAGTATTATCAAAAATACAAGGAATTTGGTTCCATATATACACAAGTTCAAAGATGAGCTCAATGTTTATGCTCATGCTTGAGTTTCACTTTCAGTTTATTTCTCTGTAACGAGCTGTGGAAAATCAATAAAATCTAAATTCATAGGCTACATAAAAACATAATTTCTACCAGATGATCTTGCATGAAAACAATTTTTGTCCAGTACATTTGTGTTGTTGATTCGCCTGGAATAGACTTTGTTCCACTGCTGTCCTGATAGCTGTTCTGATGACTTTAAATACTCAGAACTTGCAGCTCACTTCTCATTTTCAGTGTGGATTGAATGGAATCGAGACATAAGCGTCACGCAAGTGCTACTGGAGCATAATTCCAGTGTGTTTAACAGTTAAACTTGACCAATGACACTAATCTCTCCACATGATCAAGTGCCTTGCACCCACCATACTGCTAAACTGTTCGCTCTGGTCTTCTATTTTCAGGATTTTGTCCTACTTTCAAAAAAAGATAAATACACTTAAATGTTTAGATTCCTTCCAGAGCTGTGATTGTTTAAATGTTAGCATCGTCACACTACAGCTATTAGCATTACAAGCATTTTGTGCAAGTACACACATACACACACACACTGGTTTAGACGTAAAATGATTGAGAAATTCACTTGTTTGTTTAGAAGTTAAGCAGGGAATTCAGTGAGTGGACCGTGGGCAAAGTGGTGAGGATCTTACATTTCTCCAAGCTTGTGTTCTGCTTGTTCAACAGCTGTTGAACATAAACTGCTCATACGGTCTTTGTTGCTGGCTGATTGTTGCACTGAAATAATCCTTCTTGTCCTCTGCAACTTCTGCTCACACCCTAGAGTGGGTGTCTATATTGACATGTCCAATAAAGTTGAGATCAACCAAAATAACACAACTGTTAATTTTAGCCATTTTAGTTTGTGCAGCTGATGAACAGCGGTAATTTGTTGACAGTAGCTATGTCTTCTGTTGCTGTCGGCCATGACACCATTCTGATGACACATTGTAGACCTACAGTGCAGTACTGCCAGAGCTCAGTTAGCCTTCTCCATACAGTGCCTTGCGAAAGTATTCGGCCCCCTTGAACTTTGCGACCTTTTGCCACATTTCAGGCTTCAAACATAAAGATATAAAACTGTAATTTTTTGTGAAGAATCAACAACAAGTGGGACACAATCATGAAGTGGAACGAAATTTATTGGATATTTCAAACGTTTTTAACAAATAAAAAACTGAAAAATTGGGCATGCAAAATTATTCAGCCCCCTTAAGTTAATACTTTGTAGCGCCACCTTTTGCTGCGATTACAGCTGTAAGTCACTTGGGGTATGTCTCTATCAGTTTTGCACATCGAGAGACTGAAATTTTTGCCCATGCCTCCTTGCAAAACAGCTCGAGCTCAGTGAGGTTGGATGGAGAGCGTTTGTGAACAGCAGTTTTCAGTTCTTTCCACAAATTCTCGATTGG